TACCAGAGCCTCGTGCAGCAAGCCGTGCCGGCCGGGGACAGCCCAGAGCCACCCGCGGACCCCCTGGCACGGGCGGGAGAGCCAGAGAGGACACCGGAGGGGCCTGTGGAGGAAGAGCTGGGGTGTGCGTCCCCCCCGGAGGGGAAGGGCAGGCTGCTGACCGCAGGCTCCATCTCGGTGCAGGTCTGCCCCTGGGAGCTGGTCCAGGAGGAGATCCTGAGCCGGAAGCAAAAAGCCGCCGAAGCAGCAGACTCGGGGACCCCTGGTGACGCAGCGGCCACCCCCCCCAGCCTCAAGCCGCCCTCCCAGAAGACCTCCTTCCGGGGCCTGGGACTCGCCGTCAAAGCCTTCAACCACTCCAGGGGGAAAAGCATCCTGAAGGGGAAGAGAGAGGGCGAGGGGAGCCTCAGCAAGAGCGGAGGGGGGCAGGAGGAGGGAGAGGCCCAGCCTGGCAGGGACGTCGGCCGTGTCCCTTGGGGGGATCGTCCAAGACCCTGCCGCCAAAAGCCGTGAGTGGAGCAGGCAGAGGCCTGGCAGCGAGCCCACCGCCCGCCCGTGGCAGGGGGAGATGGTCCCCTGCCAGCACAACAACAATGCCGGCACCGCTTCAGAAGCCGAAGGCTGGGGGTATGGCAGGGAAGAGGCAGAAGGACAGCAGGACAGCCCAGCCCCGGGGACAGGCGATGGTGAGAAACTGGCAGAGGAGCCCAGTGCTCCCCGGGGGGACGTGGATGCTGGGAGGGGCCCGGGGCCACCCTCGGGGGTGCACAAGATTCCGCCCAGTGTTGGCCACCAAGAAGGAGCCGAACATCCCCGTGAAACCCCAGCAGCGGCCAGCAGTGGGAAAGCAGAGATACGCCCCCGGCAAGGGGCCGAGGCTCCCGTGGCAGAGCTGGGGAAGGATGCTCCTGCGGCCATCGTGAGGCTGATCACGCCGAAGGGAGGGGTGGCCGGGCCAGCTGAAGGGCTCGAGGGGGGCAGCAGGTCCATCCGACCCCAGGACCACGCGGAGGTGGAGCAGCCACGTGCAAAACCCATCGCAAGCAGCCCCCACCCATCCACCGCCGGTGTGTGGAGAGCAGCTGCTGAGAAGCCGGGGGCTGAGGTTTGTCCCCGGGGAGCCCCGGGCGTCCCAGCAGGAAAAGGAGCCTTGCTGCGTCAGGAGGCGATTGCTTCCCGGGAGGACAGCGGGGTCCCGCCGGGCGGGGAGAGCCCGACCAAGGTGCTGGAGAAGGGGGGCAGCCAGCCCGAGCCCCTCGGTCCCAGGGGGAGCCGGGGCACCGAGAGAGTCCCTGCAAAGAGCCAGAGCATGGAGGCGGCCCCGGCTGCAGCGGGGAAAGCCGGCAGCACGGCAGGCAGGCAGGCAGAGGTCCGTCCTGGGGAAACCCAGACAGATTGCAGCATTAAAATAGAAATTTGCCCCTGGGAGGAGAGCGGAGGCAGAGCCCTGGGGAAGGGCGGCAGTGAGGGGGATCCCGGCCGCCCCGGGGAAGAGCCAGGCACAGAGAAAACACCAGCAAAAACTCCAGAGCTGCCCAAAGCAGCTTCGGAGACAGCAGGCAGCGCGGAGGGCAGGACGGCTGAGGTTTGTCCGTGGGAGACCGCGGAAGGGGGAAGCACCGTCAGAGCAGAAATCTGCCCCTGGGATGTGGAGGGGGCTGAGCCGGAGCAAGAGAGGCAGGAAGGAGAGAGGAGGTGGCTGGCCAAGTGGGTCAAGGGCATCAGACCAAAATCACTGGGTTTGCTGAGAGCGCAGGACAGTGGGAGCAGCCTGCAAGTGCCCGGCTGGCCCTGGGGCAGCACCGGCAGCGAGGGACCCTCACCGAAACCTGCTCCCAGAAGCTCTGAGCTGCCAGAAGTGACCTCGAGGAGCCCGGCGAGCGCACGGGCTTCAGTTTGTCCCTGGGAAGCGGCTGGAGCCGACAGTGATGCAGAAGTTTGCCCTTGGGAAAGGGGAACAGCCTTATCCGATGCAGGAAAATTAGATGATGGTGAAATTTCCCAAGTGAAAAATGGGATTTCCCTGCAGAGGGTGGTCCCGAGGGCCATGGGAGAGACAACTCCGGCTGCAGACAAGGGGAGCGGTCAGCGAGGAACCCCCAGCCCCGGGGAAGGTGCAGAGCAGCCTGGCACAGGGCTCGCGGCAAAACATCCAGCTCTGTCCAAAACATCATCTAAGCAAGCGGGAACCATCGATAGCAAAAAGGCCGACGTTTGTCCATGGGAAGTGGAGGATGAGCCGCTTCCTAAAACAGAAATCTGCCCTTGGGAAGAGGCTGCAGCTTCATCGGGGAAGGGGAGACTGAGTCAGGACACACGTGGGACTTCCAAAGGGGAAAACAAACCAGGATCTGGAGGACTTGAAGATATCAAAGCAAAGCTGGCAGAGATGGGTGACCGTTGGCCAGAGCGCAGGGACACCGGGATCTTTGCAAAGCTCATTGGGAAAAGCCTGGAGTCCAAGAAATCCCAGAGTGCGGAGAGCATAAAGGAGGAGGTCTGTCCCTGGGAGAGCCTGGGCACGGAGCAGCCCCCAGCAAAACCCCGCACCGGGAGCCCAGCGCTGCCCAAATCGCCTTCGAGGAAATCCCAGAGCGTGGAGAGCCTGAAGGCGGAGGTCTGTCCTTGGGAGGCTCCAGAGCTCGAGTCCACCGATAAAGCAGAAATCTGCCCCTGGGAGACGGCTGTTCCACCATCAGGTAAAGAGAAATTAAGGCAGGACAAAGGCGTTCTGTCCATGGTGAGCAAAAGCCCTTCTACAAGTCAAGGTCTTCGCAAAGAGATTGGAGATAGCACATCTGCAAAGAAGGAGAAAGCAAGCAGAGACCGTGAGTCCATCTGCCCCTGGGAGAGCACGAACACAGAGGGAACGTCCGTGGGGTACGGCACGAAGAGCGCAGAGCTGCTGAAAGCCACCGTCAAGAAATGGGAGAGCATGGGGAGCACAAAGGCTGAGGTCTGTCCCTGGGAGAGCCTGGGCACGGAGCAGCCCCCAGCAAAACCCCGCGCCGGGAGCCCGGCACTGCCCAAATCACCTTCGAGGAAATCCCAGAGTGTGGAGAGCCTGAAGGTGGAGGTCTGTCCTTGGGAGGCTCCGGAGGTCGAAGCTGGCGGTAAAGAAGAAATCTGCCCCTGGGAGGCGGCTGCACCTCCCTCCGATCAGCCAAAGGCAAAGGAGGGTCCTGGGGGGGCTTCAAAGAGGGACAAGCGCATCAGGCGCCAGGCAGCGTTGGCCAGCCCGCTGAGATCCCTGGAAAAGGGCAGCAGCGAGCGAGAGGCCATCTGTCCCTGGGAGAGCCTGGGCACGGAGCAGCCCCCAGCAAAACCCCGCACCGGGAGCCCAGCGCTGCCCAAATCGCCTTCGAGGAAATCCCAGAGCGTGGAGAGCCTGAAGGCGGAGGTCTGTCCTTGGGAGGCTCCGGAGCTCGAGTCCACCGATAAAGCAGAAATCTGCCCCTGGGAGACGGCTGTTCCACCATCAGGTAAAGAGAAATTAAGACAGGACAAAGGCGTTCTGTCCATGGTGAGCAGAAGCCCTTCCACAGGTCAAGGACTCTGCAAAGAGATTGGAGATAGCACATCTGCAAAGAAGGAGAAAGCAAGCAGAGACCGTGAGTCCATCTGCCCCTGGGAGAGCACGGACACAGAGCAGCCCCCAGCAAAACCCCACACCGGGAGCCCGGCACTGCCCAAATCACCTTCGAGGAAATCCCAGAGCGTGGAGTGCCTGAAGGTGGAGGTCTGTCCTTGGGAGGCTCCGGAGGTTGAAGCTGGTGGTAAAGCAGAAATCTGCCCCTGGGAGGCAGCTGCACCTCTGCCGGAGAAAGGAGCAGCCCCGGGTAAGGTGAGCCTCCCACCGAAAAAAGCGGGTGCCTCCGAAGCACTGGAGAAGGGGAGTAGCGAGCGCGAGGCCATCTGCCCCTGGGAGAGCCTGGGCACGGAGGAGCCCTCCCTCAAAACTGCGATGGGGAAAGAGCCACCGTCCAAGAAGTCCGACAGCACGGAGAGCAAGAAATCTGATATTTGCCCCTGGGAAGCAGCAGAGCCCACCGGCTTGGAGAAGGAAAGCTTCAAACCAGGGGTGCGCCCACAGGGAGCTGACAGAGCAGCCCCCACGGGGACGGGAAAGTCAAAGCCGGTGGCAGGAGCCAGCGCCGTGTCTCCAACAGCCCTGCTAAAAAAATCCAAGGGCAGATCTGACGGCGAGGCTGAGCACAAGCCCCTGTGCCGCATCCTGCCGGGCATCCAGCCCCCGCAGGGCCCCAGGGCAGAGCCGCTGCCTCGGGGAGCGAGCACGGCTCCCGCGGTGGGCAGCAGCCCCAGCCCAGGCACTAGCGTAGCCGAGGTTTGTCCCTGGGAAGCAGAAGAGGCTCCACCAGCATCTGACAAGACCAGCACAGAGACAGGGAAAACCTCCGAAGTGTGTCCGTGGGAGGTGGAGAGCGCGGATCCCACCCCGACCCTCCGCAGGCAGGGCAGAGCCGGGGCGAGCCCCCAGGACAGAGGCAGGGGTGCGAGCGAAACCAAACCCGACGTCTGCCCGTGGGACCACGAGTAGCTCCCTCCGTCTGGCCGCCCACGGGGGGAAGCCACGGCCTTCCCCAAGCATTGGACTGAAGG